TATGGCTACTTCTTCAGGGAGCTGGAGGACCTCCAAGTGCAACTTGGCTAAGGGGTCCATTAACTATGGATGTACTGTTGGTAATGAAGAAGCCCCTTTCCTTCTAGAGGACAGAATGGGTATAGGTTATTAAAAAGGCATATTTAGAGTCAGTGCAGATGTTAGCCCATTGACTGTTGGCTAGCTAGAGCACTCTAGTCAAGGTGATTATTACAGCCTTTTGTGAAGAGGTTCCCATTAGCAGGTAAGTCGCTTCAACTGTTTTAGTGGAAGTGACCATTGCATATGTCTGGCAGTTTCCTGATCTGTCTATAAGAGAACTTCCGTCAACAAACAGGGTGGGATGGCGGTTCGTGAGTGGTTGGTCTAGACCATGCTGGGATGAGCTTAGGGCCTTCACAGCCTGTGGGCAGGAATGAGAGGAGATACCAGAGGGAGAGGGGACAGGAAGGAGGGTTGCAGGATTTATGGCAGGACTGGAGACCAAGGTAATTTGAGGGTTTTCTAGAAACAGTAAGTGAAACACTTTGTCTCATGAGCGTCCAAGGAGGGAGAGAGAAAAATGACTCAGAGGGTCTGAGAGACAGTGATTGGCTTGAACAGGGTATTCTTGAGAGCCTCCCAGATGAGTTCAGCTGCCACCGCCAGGGCTCTCAAGCATGGCTGCCATCCACAGAGGGTGGGTGAGAGGCCTCATAGGGGTCTCTCTGTGTGGTATAGAGGCTTGGCTGAAATGGCAAAGTTAGGGATCCAGTGGCAGAAGAATGTCATCAGGCCCCAAAATGAGAGAATCTGAGACACTGTGGTTGGGGGCTGTAATCCTGAAAGGGCTTATACTCTTGTCAGAGGTGAGGGAGGGTCTTAGACCCTGGACTGAATTGAACACCCAGATACATCACAGTGGGAGAGCATAGCTGAGCCTTAGCTGGTGAAATGCCATATCCCAGGGATCCGAGGAAGTTCAGCACTGAAGAGGTGTCCTGCTACTTGCAACGTTACCCTAGGCTCTGAGAGGGCAGTGGGAGTCATCAAGTCTGGGCCATGTCAGTCCTCTGCCAGGCTGAGTAGTTCAAAGGCTGGAACAGACTTAGCTCCTGGTGTTGGTGAGGCTGGACCTCCATGGTGTGGCATAGAGGACAAGCCTGCACAGGGGCATTCCAGCAGACAGGGCATGGCCTTGCCAGAGGCTGAAGGTCAGGGCAATATTGTGACTGGTGGCCCTCCTCATTGAATTTGAAGCAAGCTCCTGGGGGAGTTGACTTGGGCTGAGCTCTGGAGGGATGGAGCCTCGTGGTCAACTTTCTTTGTCCCTTGTGTGGTGGCTCCTGGTGGCCTCAGGACAGCTGCTAAGGCTTGGGCTTGGAGGGCAGCCTTGTCTGTCGGGAGGACTTGGCTGCCTCTTCTTGGGCACTGAAAACTTTAAAAGCCATTTTCATGAGTTTGGGGACCCTCCTCAGCCTTTAAATTTTTTTTTTTACTAATATCTGGCTCTGACTGAGAAATAAAATAGGTGGCCAGGACTGTGGCTCCCACTGGGAAGGCCGGGTCAAGTCAAGTATACTGAACCATGGTCTCTTGTAGTTGATTTGGAAAAATGGCCGTTTTTTTTGTCAGCTAGCTGTGTAATATCTCAGAGTTTATCAAAAGTAATGACTTTTTCAGAGACCATCATCATACCCTGAAGGAGGCAGCGGACCATGGTTTCCCACCTCTGCTGGCAGTTCTGACCTGTTTGATAGTCCCAGTGTGGTTCTGTAGCTGGCATTGCCATGTCACCCACGGGGACAGAATTGTCCACTAGGTGGGTCTGGTCCAAGTACTGTCTCGTTGCTGCCTGAACTTGACTTTGCTCTTCTGGAGTGAGAGTGGAGGCCTAGATGACATATAGGTCCTGCCGGGTCAAGTCATAGGCTTGGGGCAGATAACAGAAGGCAGGGTTTTGGTGAGAGTGGGTATGAGAAGAGACCAGGGAGTATTTGGCAGGGGTGGGGGTGGGTGAGTACGGGTGTTAGACCAATGTGTAGAAGGGGACCAGGGGGTGGGTTGTGGTGTGGAAGGGTAGGGAGGGACAGTGGACCAAAGGGAGGAGAGGAAGGTGGGTAAGGAGGAGGAGGTTGCTCTGTAGCCTTTGTCCTGGGGGCAGGGAAGGGACGAGGATGGAAGGGGGTAGATGGGAGGAATGTGAGGAATGTTGGCCACTGAATGGCACCTGTGGCCCATAGAAGGGAGGTAGGTAGGCAGGGTTCAGGGGAGTGGGGGAGGAGCTAGTGTATTCAGCAGCATGTTCAGGGCAGAATTTTCAGGGTCCCAGTTCCCTGATAGATAGGAATCTGGAGGCACCATGACCCTAGCCAGCAACACTGGTACTGTGGGACACTGGCTACTGAGGGAAGGGCGGGAGCACAGTATCCAGAAACCGTGGACATATGGGGGTTCTGTTCACTTGTCCCCCTACCTGCAAAAAGTTTCAAGGTCACGGAGGATGGAAAACTCAAAAGTTTCCTCTGGTGGCCATCGCGTCCCATTGTCAAGGGCATTTTGAGGCCAGGCCTTAGTGAACAGAGAAATCAGGTGTTCAGGACATATGGTGTCAGCCCCAATTTAAAAAGATTTTGTAAATGGCAGCCCAAGGGCATTTTGGGATCTGGCTTCGAATTGCAGGTGTCCATTCCACAAGTCTATGCCATGACCCTAAGCCTAGCGCAATGCATCCACTGTGGTAGACTTCAGGTAAAAAAAAAAAAATGTGTGTGTGGGGGGGATGTTCCCTTGTACAGAACGTCGTCTGAAGAAGGGGCCCCATGGAACAAAGGCAGGCCTTTGCTCCAGAAATGGGCCAGGGGCCTGTCACAGCTGTGTTTTCGACAGGACATCCCCAAATTGGAAGAGACACTTTGCCTCTAAGGCAGTGTCTTGGAAAGGACAACCCAGTCAATGCCAGTCTTAGCCTGGCAGAGAGCAGGTATGGGGGAGAAGGGTGTTTCCTACACTGCAGCCCCTGATTGGTGGGGGAAAAACAACCCCTCAGTGGGACCTCCAGATGAAAAATCTCTGCACCCCCTATTAGCCTCAACACCGATGCAGCAATTCAAATCAGACCAAATTAAATCAAATTAGAAAAAGCATAGGTTTAATGTATAAAATTCTCTGGGATGAATTTCCAGCCCCGCAAAGAGGAGATGAAATCAGAAAACTATGTGTCTGTTTTCTGGGGGAGGGAGGAGATTTAAATACCCTGTGGGAGTGGTCTTGAGCATCTCTGGGGAGGAGCCCTGTTTGGCTGACTTTCTGGGATGGGACAGGGTTTGGGGAGAGAAAGACTGGGGAGGGGTATTGAGGTAGACCTTCCACCAGAACATTCCAGATTCTTTGGGTATATGGATGCCAGGGACTGAGGTGGAGCTTCCATCAGAACAAAAGTAAAACAAAAATTAGTCTTTATCTTTCTTTCCTCTTTTTGGAGGGGTGGGGTGGGCATCTTCAGTCCCCTCTAGATGGCTGCTAGTAACCCTACAGGGGAATGAGGAAGTGTCTGGTATGTCTGGGTCTTACCCTATACTCAGTTGTTTGGGTTTCTTGTTTTGTTTTGCTTTTTGTTTGCTTTGTTTTGTTGGGGGGTTTTGTTTGCTTATTTGGTCACGGTTCTTGAACTCATACTGGGATCTGGGAAATGTCTCCTCTTGGGGTCACAGCCTTGACTCCATAATAGGCCTGCTCTCAGAATTATAGATTTGTGATTGTGATAGACAACACTTCCTCCAGATGTTGACCTGCCTCCAAGAAATAATCTAAGATGTTTTGCTTGGCCTCAGGAGAGCACAAAACAGTGATTTCTTTCACAGACATTCATGAGTCATTTGTTCTATAGGTAAAAATGCTTGTCCCAGGATCCATCCAAACTGATGACAGCCCGTGTCTGTGGAATGCATGTATTCAGTGCATGGCTTTGATTTTTCTGTTCCTGACCATTTGAGAAACAGAACAGGATGGAAGGAACATAGGCTGGAAGAAACGGGCACTCAGCATCTATACATCCCCCTATGGCTGTTAAGCCACATAGATTTCTTAGCAGTGTGGTCCTAGAGGACTTGGTCCATAGAGCAATTCACTGCTTTCTGACCTCCTGTATTACTTCACTGGCCTCTGCCCACTGACAAGGGAAGTGACCCTTGACTCCTTGTCAAGCCATACCCTCAGGGCTCCCTGACCCCTCTCCTACTGCACCAGCCTTCCTTCCTGAGTTAACCATGCATCTTAGGGGGTGAGGCCTAGGTACTGCCAGAGTCTAGAAGCTCTGGGAAGAGGGTTTCTTTTTTCTTTTTTTAAAGATTTTATTTATTTATTATGTATACAACATTCTGCTTCCATGTATATCTCCACACAAGAAGAGGGCACAAGATCTCATAATGGATGGTTGTGAGCCACCATGTGGTTGCTGGGAATTGAACTCAGGACCTCTGGAAGAACAGTCAGTGCTGTTAACCTCTGAGCTATCTCTCCAGCCCCGGGAGATGTTTCAAGAGGGTTTCTTGAGGACCTTCAGAGCCCCATTCTCATCTCAGGATCTGTCCCAGTGCATCTGCCTGGCTGAGATTGCTAATGGGGCCAGAGGTAGCAATGGCCCCAGATGGGATGAGCTTCAGCTGGATCAAGTACCAATCAAATCTGGCATAGTTAACTTTTGGGTCAGAAATGGTGGATGTACCTACTTGTCCCCCACACTGAGTCAAAATGCTTCAGCATCACATTGGAGACTGGTGTCAGTAAGTCTGGCATGGGAACTGAAAGAGGGCTGGGACCTCAGTTTCTCTTCCTGTGGCAAGGCTCCACCTAGATCCCTCACACTACCCTCTGAGAGCTGAGGAGAAAGGTCACCTGGGGCTCGCTACCCCACAGAGTGGCTTTATGGAAAGGGTCAGGCAAGGGGTGTGATCTGCTCTAGTGTCTAGGTAGGAGTGCAAGGGGAGCCTAGACTGACACCTGGAACTCCTGCCTTCTAGGTGGCCCGAGGCAGCCGGGATGACACTTCTCCCCAGGAACCCTGCTATCTGCTGAGAAACATGACCAGTAAATCCCGTGAGTGTTGTCCAGGGGCTCCCCCATGCTGGAGGGTTTAGCAGCCATCCTCAGCAGCATCTTGGGACCCCCCTCAGGGAGGGTGGTCCCTCAAACTAAGTCCACTGGGAGCCGTGGACCCTCTCTTCATCCTGACACCAGAAATACTTGGGTCCCAGCCCCTGGCTAGGGGACACGAGAGGGCCAGGGACTGGATCTGCTGTGCTAGGGGTAGAGGAGCCCAGGATGGGCAAAGGAGAAGGTGGCCTGGGGCTGTACCTTCCTGTCTCTGCCTCCAGCGTCTCTGTGCATGTACCTTGCAGGCTGTAAGTTCCTGGCCATGCTGGCTCTGGTCTTTGTCGTCGTCATGGTGTGGTATTCCATCTCCCGAGAAGATAGGTACTTTGAACTGTGAGTATGCTTTCTTTGTGCTTCCATTGCTTCTTGCCAGAGATGGGCTGATACAAAGGCTGGGTGCCTAGCAAAGCAGGAAGCTTTTGAGAACCTTGGCCTGACCTTTCCTCTTCAGCTGCTAGCCCAGGGTCCCTCCATGAGGGTGGGTGGGAGGGGTGCGGGTGGGAATCCAGGTGGTTTCTGAGATCTGCCACAGAGGAAATGTTAGGGCAGAAAGGTTTGTACCCTTCATGGTTTGTGTTCAAAGTGGAACTTGGGTTGAGGAGATGCTATATCTGTACATCCTTCTCCAGTACCATAGGACCTCTGTGCCGTCACTGGGGAGGTGGACCCTGCATGGGATGCTGGCCTCGGGGTTCAGCCTCCTGATGCTTCTCTTTCTCTCTCCAGTTTTTATTTTCCCATCTCAGAGAAGAAAGAGCCATGCTTCCAGGGTGAGGCAGAGAGGCAGGCCTCTAAGATTTTCGGCAAGTAAGCACCTAGTGGTGGGACAGGACATGGGGAGAGCGGGGTTGAGGGGTTTTTGCCTCATCGATAACTGGCTGGAGGGTGGATGAAGCTGGAAGAAGGACAAAGGAGATATAATAGTCAGAGGCCTGGTCTTGTTTAGTCAGATTAATCTCTTTCTCATTCAACCCTGTATAGCCATTCTAGGGAACAGCCCATCTTCCTCCAGCTTAAGGATTATTTCTGGGTAAAGACACCATCTACCTATGAGTTGCCCTTTGGGACCAAAGGGAGTGGTAAGTTATTGCTCAACTCATTGCCTAAGAGCTGCTCTATGAGACCAAAGGAAGTTGTAAAATAATGAGTTGTCCTACCCAAGCAAATGGGAAATTAATGCCCTGTTCATGGGAGCCACACTGTTGAATATTGCTATCTGCTTGCTCCACGCGTGGGTTCTTTTGCCTAGAACCAGGTACCTATGTCAAGGAGAGAAAATCTGGGGAGTAGAGTGGGAGCAGCCTTTAGAATGACAATGACCATAGTCTTGGTTCCTTCTATTCATTCTTTTTTTAGAAGACCTTCTTCTCCGGGTGTTGGCCATCACTAGCTATTCTATACCTGAGAGCATACAGAGGTAAGGAGGTATTCTTCTCTTTGCCATCTGGGCACCTTCACCTTTCCCTGCTCCAGTGTGAAATCATCTTGTTAGTGTCATGTCAGCCAGCCTTCAATCACTGGTTGACTGTGGCCAAATTTGACCCTCCCTGGCCTGCCTATCTCCAGGAGATATAGGTACTCTAAAACCACAGTATCCTAACCTCAGTATCTAGATGCCAGAGTTGGCAGAAGCTGCTGAAGATATTGCCATGGCAACAGACAAACCTGGGTAACAGGCAAGGGAGCTGTGTCCTAGGGTTTCTCCTCTGCTCCCTCCTCCTCTCTATTCTTGCATTTTATTTTTTTCCTTTGTGTAGCCCAGGATAGGTTTGAATTCTGCACTTTTCTTTTGGTACTTCCTAAGTGTTGAGGTGATAGGTATGTGCCACCTTACCCAGATCTTGTGCTGGGGTTTCTTGTGGCACTCCTGTGTGCTTTCCCTCCTCTCATTATCTCTTTGCCATGCTTGGCTTGTTTGTATTTCACTTTGAGGCCCAGGACTTCAAGGTCAGTAGGATCATTAGCAGGCTAGTTAGTGTGCCTGATTCATGCAGTTTAGGGGCTGAGGAGAACCTAGAAGTGACCTGAGGTGGCCCTCAGGCAGATGCAGAGCAGTGATAGTTCAGCAGAGCAGGGTCCACTTCTGGATTTGACCACTCTTCTTCCATGGCAGCCTCCAGTGTCGTCGTTGTGTTGTGGTGGGGAATGGGCACCGGTTGCGGAACAGTTCACTGGGAAGTATCATCAACAAGTACGATGTGGTCATCAGGTGTGTGACTATCCCTCCTACTTCTTTTTGGGTTCTGGATGTCCCAAACGGGGTGGGGGGGGGCTGCCAAAAGGCCTGACATCTCTAGTAATGGATATTCTTTCCCTGGCCCAGATTGAACAACGCTCCTGTGGCTGGTTATGAGGGAGATGTGGGCTCCAAGACCACCATACGTCTCTTCTACCCTGAGTCGGCCCACTTCGACCCCAAAATAGAAAACAACCCAGACACGCTCTTGGTCCTGGTAGCTTTCAAGGCAATGGACTTCCACTGGATTGAAACCATCTTGAGTGATAAGAAGCGGGTAAATTGGGATAGATGGGTTTCATGTCCCACAGAGTGACTTGTGATGATTCTAAAGAGTTGGTGAACGGACAGGGTGAACCAGGATCTCCACTGCCAGAACCTTGGGCTTCTTGCCAAGAGCATTGTTTTGCAGGGCTGCTAATAAACTGCCCTGCTTTACAGCTCAAGAACCTGTAGGAGTTGGGGTAGCAGCCAGAGGCCCTCGGGGCTGCAAGGTTGCCTACAATAGGAGCACTGGCAGAATGGGTGAGAAACATGGGAACAGGAGAGCTGTCCCACAATTACCTTGGAACAGGCAGCATTTTTGCATTTTTGTGCCTTTCCTGATGGTCCCCACCAAGGTCCTACTCCCTTACTTGGCCATCTGGTTGAAGGCTGAACTGTCTGATCTGGCTTTTTTTTTTTGCCCAGTATGTAGACAGCCTAGGCTCAAGCCCCTTCTTGTCTGCATATCTCTGAAACAGGTAGTGGTCAGACCCTGCCCTCTCCACAGAGTATTACCCTTCCTTCCTGATAAGGAGACCCCCCTGATCTCTCCTTTGGTCTCTCATCTCTGGCACAAGTCTTACCTCAATTCTGAGGTACCTGCAAGCCTGAGGTATCAATCTTGACTTGGACCCCATCCTCTGCCTGAAGACTACCAACTGGGTTAGAGTTGAGAAACAGGTCTTTACCTATTTTCATCTCTCCCTTCTGACCCTGCCCCCATAGGTACGAAAAGGTTTCTGGAAACAGCCTCCCCTGATCTGGGATGTCAACCCCAAACAGATTCGGATTCTCAACCCCTTCTTTATGGAGATTGCAGCAGAAAAGCTCCTGAGCCTGCCCATACAGCAGTCACGAAAGATCAAGCAGGTGACGAGAAGCTGGTGACAGTGAGACCAAGCTAGGAGGAGACTGGGGTCATGGGTGGAAAGTGAAGAGTAGCTCTTGAGAAGGAAGAATGATTGTGGGTGCAGCTTGCACTTGACCTTTGAAGATAAGTTTCCTAGTGTGCCACCTGGATGGACAGTGTGTACTTTGGGGAATTGGGGCACCCTGAAAATAGGAGTGAGAGATCTAGATGTGACTTAGGTGCTCGTCTTTTAGATGCTTTGGCAGGTTCTGGTCAGAACTTGTAAACTGGGAGCTGCCGGCATACTCCCTGGCCCCATCTTTGAGATCAGCTTGAGTCAATGCCAAGTTACTGTTAGACTCTTAGCCTGCAATCTTATCTTGGAACATACTGATCTGATGGAGTGAATGGAGACTAAACTTCAACGGTCTCTGTTGAGTGTCATGGCTATGGTGAACCAACTTAGGGAGCTGTAGGAGTTTTATGAGTCACAGCTTTGATTTCAGCACTCTGTCCTGGTAGTCTTCGGCTGGCAGGGTTTACCCCATATTGTGGTTTTACAGACAGTTTTTCCACGTGATTTAAACTTTCTCGTGGGGGCACAGGAGACAGCAGAAGAAGGTTACCAGCAGGCATTGGCAGGACTCTTGGCTGTTCCACTTGCTGTGGTTATCAGGCAGATCTAGTACTAGGAGATTTCTATTGCTTATCTGCGTGGTGGGGATAGTATTTGTGCTGACCTCTTAAGTACATGGTAGGACTTAAGAAGATAAAGTTGGAGCACAGTGACTGCTCTATCAGTATTTACCCCTTGCTGTTTGGTTAGTTTTCTTGAGACAGGCTAGCCTCAAACCCAAGGTAATTCTCTCAAGTGCTGGGTTTACAAGTATGAGCCACTATCCCCAGATAATATTAGCCAAATTTTAAATAAATGGTTATTCTTGACTATCTTATGTTATGTCAACATCATGTGTTATATGCCTGCAGTGTGACTGCCCCGTGGTGAGCCTGAGCCCACATGCTTACTTTATAAGCTGTGCCCCTTGCTCTAAAGAGATACTGTGTGGCAGAGTAGATGCTTCGAAGCAGTTCTAGATTTCCTGCTTGGACGAATGGGCAATTGTGCTATACTGATTGAATACAGAGAACACCAGGAGAAGGCCAGTGTGATGACTGTAGTAAGGAGCAGAGCTGGTGAGGAAGTGATAGCTATGTGACCCTGAAGGATCCCAAACTGGGTGAGAGAAACAGGGTGGTTAAAGTGGCAGGGGTGGCCAAATAGAGTAATAGATGCCTGTAATCCCAGCACTTGAGAGGTAGAGGTAGGATTTCAAAGTTAGTCTCAGCTACACAGTAAGTTCAAAGTCAGCCAAGGCTACATGAGATCTTGTCTTAAAAGAGAGCAAGGGTGAAAAAAAAAGGCTTACCAGGAAGCAATCCGGGGATAAAATTGAAAGAGATGCTAGGAGAAAATTGGCTTTAAGAGGACTTATGGAATCCTGGAAGTGACTCTCGGGGTGAATGGGCAGGTGAGATGTTCTATAAAGCTAACCATTGGAGCTTAGCAGGGCAAGATTTCTGAAGTTTGAATATTAGGTCGCCCATTGCTGTGGATAAATTGGGGGCGAAGGGAATGGGATCCTCAAAGCAGGTGGGCAGGCAGGCAAGGTATCTTTGACCCTGCTTCACAGAGGGGGTATATTATCCCATGAAAGATCACACAACCATGAGTGTTGAACTGTCAGATTCCAGGAGGAGGGCAGATCCCTCTTCCCCTTTGAACAAATTATTTATATTTGCAAGCTCCAGTTTCCTCATTTATAAAATGAGGCTAATAATAATATCTGTGCATATGTGTTTGGAAGGAGAGTGAAGGGGGTGGTGTATTATACTGTGTTCACACTCTGCATGGTGCCTGACACATACTAAGTACTTAAGCAACAGATGGGATTATGGTGATTTCACTATTGTCATCATGACTGCCACGATCCTCCCTGGAGACCCAGATCTATGGAGTTGTATTCTGTTGTATGCTGCTGTGTCAGCCAGACTTTTATCCCTGATAGCAGCAATTTACAAATGGAAAGATACTTTGCTCATGGTCTCAGAGATTTTAGTCAGTCATGGTAGGGAGGACACGGTGGAACTGAGCACTCACATGGGGAAGCAGGTCCCTTACCTGTGGGATGGTGCCACCCACCTTTAAGGGGGGTCTTCACTCTTTAGATAATTACTGTCCTTCACAGACACCCCTAGAAATGTACTACAGTAATTTCCTAGGTATGTCTCAATCTAACCAAGTTGGCAAGATAACCATAGTAGCCACTAGACATATAACAATTTAAATTTAAACTTAGGAGCTGAGGAGGTGGCTTAGCAGTTCAGGACACTCACTGCTTGGGCAGAGGACCTGGGCTTAGTTATATGCACCCACTTTGGGCAGTTTACCACCACCTATAACTCTAGTTCCAGGGGGCCCAATGCCGTCTTCCAGCCCATAGAGGCTCTGCAAGCTCATGGTGCACACAACTCAATCAGGCACATACACATAAAAAATAACAAATAGTTACATCTCCAGATTTACAACTTAATAATCAGGGGTGCAGAGCAGTGGTAGAACACTTACCTAGAATACACAGGCCCAGGTTCTAGCTCCTGCACGGCAAAAAGTTTAGAATTTCAGAGTAGCTTCCTGGGCTGTACTCAGGTGCTCAGTTTCTTAGCCGTTGCCCTGTAAAGGATATTTCCATGGCAGAGCGCACTGAGCCTGAGTGTATGTGAGGTGGGTGGTGGAGGAGGAGGGGATTGGGCTCTTTCAAATGCCCTCCTACTCTGTCCCTCAGAAGCCAACCACAGGTCTGCTAGCCATCACCTTGGCCCTACACCTCTGTGACTTAGTGCACATCGCTGGCTTCGGGTACCCAGAGGCCTACAACAAGAAGCAGACCATCCACTACTATGAACAGATCACGCTTAAGTCTATGGCGGTAAGCAGCCCTTGCTTGGGAGCCCAGTGTACTAGGTGGACTAGGATGTTGGGTGAGGAGGAGGATGTTGGGGGGGGTATGTTGGGTCACAGTGTGGGTTAGGATACGGTCATTCAGTGTCAGAAGTGGGACGTGGGCATCTGGACACCCCAGCTGGCATCCTCTGCATTTGCTATATGATTTCTGTCTCCCTTCTGAGAGCCCACTTAAGGCAGAAAACTCCAAGAAGTGTGGGGCCAGGGAGTGGGGGAGGGGACCTTCTGAAGACAGAGAGGTACCTGGGAGCCCCTCACTTACTTCCTTGGTTGTCTCTACAGGGGTCAGGGCACAATGTCTCCCAAGAGGCCCTAGCCATCAAGCGGATGCTAGAGATGGGAGCTGTGAAGAACCTCACGTACTTCTGACTTGGATGAGAATTGTAACACGCCAGTTCCCTACTTAGCCATCTGAGTGGCCCCTGTCTATGGCGTTGGGATGCCTGGTGCCAGTACAACCCACTTGAACTTACCCTCATTGGGGAGGGTGTTCTGGGAGTGGCCAGGACTCAGGAGAGGCTATGCCCCTGGCTACTCTGGTGGAGTCCAAATCCAGATAGGTGGACACACTGAGGCTACAGGAGCCTGGCCAAGGTAGGGGGACTTGCTGCTATGGCATCCCCTCTCTGCCAGCGCAAAGAGATTTCATTTGTTTTGGGGGGTTCTTTGTTTGGTTTTGGTTTTTTTGTTTTGTTTTGAGACAGGGTCTGACTGTGTAGCCCTGACTTATCTGGAACTCACTATGTAGACCAGGCTGGCCTTGAGCTCACAGAGATCCACGCCTCTGCCTCCCAAGTGTTGGGATTAAAGGTGTGTACAACATGCCTGGCCCCAGCAACAAGAGATTATTTAACACTCTATTTAATTAAGAGATAGAAAAATACAGTGGGCTGGTCCCCTGGCATTCACAAAAGGGACACAATACCGTGTTCTGCCCACTTTTTAATAAAATTGGCCTGTGAAGGCCCCGAACTAGAGCTGGCCTCCCAGGAGGATGGAGACATCAAGAGTGGGAGGGTGTCCTCCAGAGAGAGGTTGCTACTTCCCAGCAGGCATGGGAAGGGCATTGACAAGGGGGCTCCATCTAGAAGGGGCCTCACCTGCAAAAGAGGTTATAAAAGATCATTAAAATATTTTTTCCTAAAATGGAAGCACTTGTGAGGCTTTGTGTCTTTTCAAGTTGGGGGGAATATTGCTGGGAGTGTGATCCTGCACAGACCTGAGATTATAGTAGGACACAGTCATTTCAGCAAAGAATTTTTATTGAGGTGGTACCCAGGTGAGCATGACTACCCTGGCAGAGTATATGAGCAACCAGTGCCAAGATCAGCCCTCTCTTCAGTCATCTGGCCTGGCATCTTGCATCCAAAGGGACTAAGGCAGGGAGGACAGGTGAAGGGTACCAGATGGAAGTGGCAGTACCCTTCCCGTCATCCTTCCTCTAGGCTGGGAATCGAATGTTTTAAGGACAGGGTGGGGTTAGACAGAGAAAGCTATTTCTCCTCTCAAATTAAGTGGGAGTCATAAAATAGAGCTGGTGGAAGGTCCTGTGAGTGCAACAGTATGGTTTGCCAAGATTGGAGTGGGCAGGGCTGGAGGACAGCACTGGAGGGATTTGGCAAGTCCTGTCAGCTAGTCACTGGTCCAGGGAATGAGACTGTTTCTTTCCCAAGTCCCTTGAATCTTCAGTCCTGTCATTTGCCTGGCTCTCTGGCCTTTATTCTCCACCTTCCAGTCCCTGCTCTACTGCCAGCTGGGCCTACTGCCACCCCCACAGCTGTTCCTTTACATCTGGAGCCAGGAGGGAGTGTTGGAACTGCCCCTCAGGGACTGGAACTCACAGCTGTGTTCCTGGCTTTCTCAGAAAGATCTGCAGTCTTGAAGTTTCCAGACAAGCCAACCCCGGGTGGGATAGATACAGAGGGGCAGTGGCTTGGGAGGAAATGAAGAGGATGACACCACACTGGAACAGTACTGAAAACAGCCAGCCTCATCCAACAGAACACTCCTGAGGAACAGCTCAAGTGGAGCTGTGTGTGGTCCGAGGGGACTCTGAAAAGCAGTTGGATCCTAGTGTCTGAAGCCCCCTCATTTCTCTACCTATTGGGACAAACTGTTTTAGATGCTTTGTCCTGGGAAAACTTTGTAGGGGATCGAGAGTGCCTCTAGGGCATCTCAGCTTTGCTTATCCCAAAAAGGGAGTGTCCTTTCTCCATCCAAGGCCTTTGAAAGTGACTGTCTGCACATATGATCCAGCTGCCCTGGACTGAGGCCACTGCCTGATACTGAACGTGCCTCAACTTGAGCCAGAAGCCGACACACTGGGTCACGCTGCCCCTCCCAACTCCACAAGTTCACATACATGGGGGAGTTTATAATCTTTGGTTGACAGCGAGACCCTCACGATCACATACACAGCAAAGTGTGTATCTGGGCATCCACCCAGACCATTCTTAGCTGGGGGTGGGAACGGGCCTAGCTCTCTCTAAACTCTGCAAGCTGAGGCAATACCCTTGCAGGGTCAGGCCTGGGAGTGGAGCTTTGATGTGGAGTTGTTGGATGGGGTTCCTTGGTGTTCTGGGAAGGAAGTTTTCAACCCAACTTATGTGAATGGATTGTCTGCCAGCCTGCCTGGTACTGATTAAACCATGCCCTGAAAAGGCAGCAGGAGGGGAAAGAAAGAACTGGATGGGGGGAGGGGGGACGACGACACAACTGAGTTTACATCAGGTTGCGCTGGGTAACTCCTGCCAATTCGCTTCCGGCTTCAATCCTGATTCTGGCCCTTCTTAAAGTCAGAGGATGCATCCACTTATCCGTTACCTGGGGTGACTGAAAAAATGGAGATTCCTGCGTTTCACAAGGCTGAGTTTGAGGCTCGGAGTCAAATTCTAACAAGCATCCAGATCCAGTCTAGACTCTAGGAGATCTCATGGGCCTCTTTTCCACCCTCCCGTCTGGTTTGCAATAAAACCCATCCTAATCCCCGGTGCCCTTGAGCGGTGTTAAATTAGGCGCACGCGCAGCTTCCGCCCCAGGCGGGTGGGGGTGGGGGCTTGACTTCGCTGTCTGCCTAACCGTTGTCCGTGGCTGGGCGGGGCCATCGGGCTAAGTTTCTCCCGCCAGCCACTCTCCGACCTTTTGCGTGACTCCGCCCAAGTCCCCTGCATCGGACTGAGCCCTGGATCTCCGGGTTCTCTCGGAGTCGGGGGTATAATCGCTGCTCCTAACTCTGCCGTGCCCCACGAGGCCTGAGAGAACAGACCTACTGCCTACTGCCGGGGAGCAAAAGATGTCTTCAACCACTGCGTTAGATTCTACAAACCAAGTCCTCCTTCTCGGGGGGGAGGGGGGGACTGAGGTCCTAGAAACAAAGGGAGGGCCTCCCATGTTGAGACGACTGTCCTGGGTGGCACAAAGTATGGATCTTTCATAAAACATCATGTTTTAATTTCAAAGTGTTGCTTTTTATGTGTGTGTGTGTGTGTGTGTGTGTGTGGTTGTGTTTGTGTTTTGTGTGTGTGTGTGTGTGTTTTTTTTTTTATACTTTTC